TATTTTGCCATTGCTTGATGACGATTAACTGTCTTAAAAATCTAATAATTTACTGGTTTTGACTTACTGAATTTCAAAATGCAGTTAAAGACACGTGTTGTCTCAATTATAATTTATTAGAGGCATTAAATGTGTTTTAGAACTTGTTTGGACAGAATAATGTTTTAGTCTACGAAGCAACATGTTTAAACGTATATTAAGATACCAAATGAAGACATGAGCCTTTTCAATAGCACATGAAGACATGAGCCTATACAACCTTATTCTATCATTATATTAAATGTGACGGCAATTGTATCCCTCTTATATTGTGCAAGCGATATCACTTTGAACACGACTCTATATATAGCAATTTATAAAGGTATTCATATCCACTTGATTACTATCAAACACTCCCTCTATCGATACATAATGTTGAAGAATTTAAAAATTGTTAAGCACATTCTGAATCCCTAATTAAATATTATCATCATCATCATCATCATTATCTTAATCAATAGCAGAAGTATTGATATTGACGTAAGGAATAGACGGTTTTTGGTAGGAAACAAAGGGTTAAGTATAAAAACATTCTTTTCAGAGTGGGAAACTCTTACATGGAGTCCCTCAGGGGACAATGCTTGGATCATCATATTTGTATGTGTAATTAAGAGTACTTGAAACAATGAGTCTAGATCCTGATATCCAGATCTCGAAGTGTGTGGAAGACATGACGAAAAAAAATATATTTTCACTAAAATTAAATTATTAGGAGTTATCATACAATGGGATTTAAAATTGGTGGAAAATTGAGCTCATGCTTCAAAAAGCAAATAGGAAGTTATTTATACTTCTTAAACTTAAGCTAAAGTAAATATTGCATAATATCTAGTTGTGAATAAAGGCTAAAATTGCACTAAACTAATTGAACATGATTTCGTATTATGGAATGTGGGAATACTGCGCGCGTTGCAGGTGACTCATCTCGGAGGTGTGCAAATCCGTGTGTGCTGATCTCTTCTTGGGGGACAGACAGTACACGACTTTCGAAAATGTACTCCTTTGCTTCAGCCTCCCCATGAGCGCTAGGGAACTTTGTGTGCGAAGTTGGATAATATATATAAGAAAGCCAGTGAGAGTGAAAGATTTGTATGCTGCTTTCCGAAACCAGGTTCTGCCCAGACAATAGGACTGAGACATGAGAAGAAATAAACCATTTTGGTATATCGACGGCTAGAATCAATAACAGCCACCTCCCGTATCTCACAAAATTACTAAACTCAAAAAATGAATTAAAGTACAAATTACCGACATCAAGCAATCAATCGAAATAACTTGTATAGCGCCAAATTCTATCATATGGAGTAATATTCTGTGGCGCTGAATGACGATGGTAAAATTTCAATGTGCACAAAATGGATAATCTCATTGTGTAATATACTTTTATTCAGTACTACTACTGCTACTACTACTAATAATAATAATTGTAGTATCACCATTGTCGATTGTTGTTGAAAATGGCAACATTTATGGCAGTTTTAATGTGAAAAGTGTTCCATAAAACAGGAGCTGCACATGAAAGTGATCGTCTGCCGTATGTATGGAATTTCCACTTGTGAACATGAAGTAGGTGTTGCTTAGAACATCACGTTTTTCCATATTTTACTCACTGCTCTTTCAATTTCAGTAGTGCTTTCGTACCATTTATTCCATGCCATAAAGTTAACATTGATACATCAGTATACAGTAGGCTAAAGCTGGTTTTCCACTATGCGAATTTATTCGCGTGAATCAAAGCGTCGGTTCACTTCCTGAGCTCTGATTGGTTGCACATTTTTTCGCTACCAAAAACTCCGATAGAAATGAGAATGCGCATGCGTATGAACCGACGCTTTTGATTCGCTCGAATAAATTCGCCTAGTGGAAAACCGGCTTTAAACGTAATTGATAGATACATAACAGAATAATTTAAATATTTTTTGATATCGAATAAAAGATACAAATATATTTATATTATTGGTTTTGAAGGGGCAATCGGTGATGTAAGTACAGAAAGCATGAATATATTTTCTTGGATTCACAGCTTGATGACAATCAAATCATTTTCGAAGTCAAAATATACTGGTTTCCACTAACTGCATTAAAACAAGCAGTCAAAGACTTGTTTCTGGCTCAGAGGCATGTTGGAAGTTGTTCAGAGACAGATGATACCACAGGCAGTGACTTTAACCTCCCTGGTTCCTCTTACGTAACATGAATATCTTGTCATTTGAACACTTGCTACCTACTATCTGAACACGTACTATCTGTAACGCATATCAAATTATGACATCACGGTGACTTTTGATGGACTATACGTCAATATGTAAGCTTTAATGTGTTGACAGTTGATCAATTATATTAAAACTTTTAGTCAGATTTTTAATATTAGTCTGTTCATTCTGTTAGCAAATTTAAACTTGATACTGTAAATACCGTACGTTTACAGGACTGAATTTGACTGACGGAGACAGTTAATTATTAATTTCTTGCCAGAGTGCGTGCAAACCGTTAACACTTTGTGGCCAATAATAAAAGAAAATGAGTGTGAGCCAAGGATCAGTCATTTTGTTTCTATTAAAGAAAAAAAACTGGTGTTGAATACCTTGACAATTATTTCTTTACATCTAAACTATGATAGAATAATCAAACAGCTAAATTAGCAAACAGTTGTTGTTATTAATAATAACTACCGTACTTTTTCAAAAATTGTCTTTTAAATTTGAATGTTTATTCACTCATTTGACTAATCCAGTCCCATCCAAACTTCAAATTATATGACGCATTATACAAAGTCTCCATGCCCCAATTTGAGGAAGTGCTTGGGAAAAAGGAACAAAGGAACAAAAGAAGAAAACGGTATACTAACACAAAAAGCAGATAACAGAAAATAGAGAAGAGGAAACCAAAAACAAAAGAAGTTAAAGACAGAAACGAAACAATAATTGGAGCTGAAAAGGTGAGTTTTGAGTCTTATTTTTGAAAATCTCCCCTAATGGAGATTCGCGAACAGTTTGGAACAAATCATACTGATAAGAAAGTATAATACATACTC